GTTTACAGAGTTTCTTTGTTTAAAAAACACTGCCCTGACATGCACACACACTTGTCATTCTGAAACCTGCAAGGGGAGTCTAAGTGGCAGCAAGGGACTTTCACAGTATCCAAAACTTTGAGAATCTGTGATTCTATTTGACAAATTGTGTAAATTCCTCAATTGGATTCAAACATAATGTAAGTGCCTGTGATATGCTGTAATCTTTTATAAGCGCCTCTTTTATCTTGCTGCAAATTTGAATTAAGCTTGAAGTATTCTGTAGATTAGGGAATTTAGCAGTCATACGGACAGAGACTCAGCAAGAGGCAAGGCAGGTTGAAGTGCTCAAAGTGTAGATTTCGGAGATTATAGCTACAGGTCTTAGTGATCCAAAGGTGGAGGTGCCATATAATACAAAATGTCAATCAAATTGTCTTAGAAGATTTACTACATTGACTATACACTGGCAACAGCCAAATGAAAAAGCCTATGTATCAGGCTTAACCTATCATAGCTGAACAGACACAGGTAAGGCAAGTGCCAGCTCCCATGAACAAATTGGCCTCAAAGGACCTCAAAGGGGTACAAAACAATTTGGCCCCGCCCAGGATCATACCATTAGTCTACTAAATTACAATGAGGGGATTCAATTAAGCTGGCCCGGGTGGGCGGAGTTTGCACCGGGTGAAAGTGATTGCATTCCTTTTGGAACCAGGATGCCTCCCTGGCGTGAGCCGGCTGCCCCTTTCTAGCCAACGGCGAAGTCCAAAAGTGCTCAAAACAAAAGTGCCGTTGGTTAAACACGTGGAGTAATGAATAGGATTCAGTGTTTTCACATCTAAAAGTGTTTCCTCTCTTGATAAAAATGCATATCTTCTTTATCTGCCTTCCCAAGTAGGCCTTAAACTAGTTAGAAAAACATACAGTATTCTTTATGGAAAAGACGTGTGTTTCAGAACGATGCACCATGCTGCCTTGTCCACAATATGGGCAGCGCAGATTACCGGGCAGCCCAGATTACTGTTAGATTTGAAAAGGGCGCTCCTCCCTCACCTCTTTTACCTGTTCATGTCACGGGCCATAGCCCGGCACAACCCGTGGCAGCTTAATCGAATCCCCTCAGTTACAGCCAGTAAACTGGTTCTGCAATGTAAAAGGCAATTTCCCTGTCCTTCATTCAATTGATAAATTCAACTAATCTGTTCTTGGCGATACTTTTTTCTTTCTCGATTCTGTAAAAAGTGTATCTGATAAATGTCTGTGTCCAGTTGGTTCTCAAAAAGCCCGAGAAGATTCAGAAAGATATTAAATCCATGTTTTACACCAAGTGAGGAGTTTCCTTGACATTTTAGCAGCCAGACATCTTACATTTCCAAACATCTTTGCAGGAGCAAGTCATTTCTATGTGATGCGGCCGTGGCCACGTGTAGAAGTAGATCACACAGTGCTACCAAAACAAAGATCTACACACATGCAAGAGGCATTTCTCACTTGATACAAAACATGGATTTAATATATTTCTGAATATTCTCTAGCTTTTCGAGAATCACCTGCAACTGGACACGGACATTTATAATATACACTTTTTGCCGAATCGAGAACAAAGAAAGTATCGACAAGAACAGGTTAGTTGAAAAATTCCTTGCTTTCAATTAGCCAGGCTGTAATGGGTATGGAGCACCACATATCCCATTAACAATTATGTAGCTAACGTTCTAGATGACTGCGAAATGACAGGGATTAATGGTAAATGCATTACAGCTGATAGGCCTATATATTTTGCAGGGGAATTGATAAACATCACAAAACAAACTCACAGAATGAAACAAATGAATGCGCCCGAATTGGTGGGAGGCAGAGGGCACATGATTCCATCCAATGATGCATATAAACCCTGGATTGCTGATGCTATGTATTGGCCAATGATAGGCTATGAAGCTACTGGCTGCCATATTGGTAAGCCTACTCCACAGAAGGAGCTGTCCTCCCTAGGAATTAATAGAATTTTACAGTAATTAAATGTAAGTATGTTTTTGTTGTAGTGGAGACAGTAATTTTAGTGCTCTCAAAATGTTTTACTGAAAAAAAATATATTTTATTAAAAATAACCCGAATGTATACATTAATAAATGCATTTCTACTGTATATCTTCCTAAATCTTTTTTACAATGGTGGATGAGTACAAAAATGGCTGCAAAGTGGCTTCAAACCAGCCCCCGGGATTCATCTAGGGTTTATACACATCATTGCCTCCATCCCATCGGTAATAACCGTTTTGTGACTGAGAGCATATTGGTGGTGTGAGGAACCTATAGCACTCACTTCACCATATACAGTGGGGAAAAAAAGTATTTAGTCAGCCACCAATTGTGCAAGTTCTCCCACTTAAAAAGATGAGAGAGGCCTGTAATTTTCATCATAGGTACACGTCAACTATGACAGACAAAATGAGAAAAAAAATCCAGAAAATCACATTGTAGGATTTTTAATGAATTTATTTGCAAATTATGGTGGAAAATAAGTATTTGGTCACCTACAAACAAGCAAGATTTCTGGCTCTCACAGACCTGTAACTTCTTCTTTAAGAGGCTCCTCTGTCCTCCACTCGTTGCCTGTATTAATGGCACCTGTTTGAACTTGTTATCAGTATAAAAGACACCTGTCCACAACCTCAAACAGTCACACTCCAAACTCCACTATGGCCAAGACCAAAGAGCTGTCAAAGGACACCAGAAACAAAATTGTAGACCTGCACCAGGCTGGGAAGACTGAATCTGCAATAGGTAAGCAGCTTGGTTTGAAGAAATCAACTGTGGGAGCAATTATTAGGAAATGGAAGACATACAAGACCACTGATAATCTCCCTCGATCTGGGGCTCCACGCAATATTTCACCCCGTGGGGTCAAAATGATCAAAAGAACGGTGAGCAAAAATCCCAGAACCACACGGGGGGACCTAGTGAATGACCTGCAGAGAGCTGGGACCAAAGTAACAAAGCCTACCATCAGTAACACACTACGCCGCCAGGGACTCAAATCCTGCAGTGCCAGACGTGTCCCCCTGCTTAAGCCAGTACATGTCCAGGCCCGTCTGAAGTTTGCTAGAGTGCATTTGGATGATCCAGAAGAGGATTGGGAGAATGTCATATGGTCAGATGAAACCAAAATAGAACTTTTTGGTAAAAACTCAACTCGTCGTGTTTGGAGGACAAAGAATGCTGAGTTGCATCCAAAGAACACCATACCTACTGTGAAGCATGGGGGTGGAAACATCATGCTTTGGGGCTGTTTTTCTGCAAACCTCCTTCCATCAGCAAGGGCATTGAAGATGAAACGTGGCTGGGTCTTTCAGCATGACAATGATCCCAAACACACTGCCCGGGCAACGAAGGAGTGGCTTCGTAAGAAGCATTTCAAGGTCCTGGAGTGGCCTAGCCAGTCTCCAGATCTCAACCCCATAGAAAATCTTTGGAGGGAGTTGAAAGTCCGTGTTTCCCAGCGACAGCCCCAAAACATCACTGCTCTAGAGGAGATCTGCATGGAGGAATGGGCCAAAATACCAGCAACAGTGTGTGAAAACCTTGTGAAGACTTACAGAAAACGTTTGACCTGTGTCATTACCAACAAAGGGTATATAACAAAGTATTGAGAAACTTTTGTTATTGACCAAATACTTATTTTCCACCATAATTTGCAAATAAATTCATTAAAAATCCTACAATGTGATTTTCTGGAGAGAAAAAAATCTCATTTTGTCTGTCATAGTTGACGTGTACCTATGATGAAAATTACAGGCCTCTCTCATCTTTTTAAGTGGGAGAATTTGCACAATTGGTGGCTGACTAAATACTTTTTTTCCCCACTGTAGGCCTGTTTGTTGATTGTCCAACATTCATATCCAGTTTTATTTTGCCATGTAGGCTATAAGGGCAAAGTGGGCTACTGTGAGAGATTTTTTAAGATGCATTTTAATTACAGTAGGCTAACAACGACAAGATCTGATCTATGGTCAAGCCACACCACAAGCATAACATCTCTAGGCTATAGGCCTAGTCTTGATGGTTGGGTATTTCCAGAGATTACAAAAAAATCCTTATTGGGCTTCTGAATTGCAAAGCCACATTTAGTTGCCTGCTGTGTTATGCTACTTAAGCGTTTACCGCAGAGCAGGCCTCAAAATGGATGACATCCCCCTCTCCCCCCTCCCTGCCATCAGTGAGAGAATAGCTTCTGACCTCAGCCATCGTCTCCCTCACTTTGTTTTGTTAAGATGGAGGTTTGTATCCAAACCTAAACCAGAGAATTTGCATAAGTCTCAAACCTTCTGATAACAGAGTTTTGGATGGTGTGCAAATTGAGATGTTTCTCTTGGGATGTACGTATGGGTTAGACTGGGTGAGGGTATTCAATGTATTCAGCGCTGGAAGAGGGATCTGTCAGGATGAGCTACTGTTCTCTGTCTCTACTCCTGGGTGAGTGGACTGATATTTCAGTATTTTATCCCAAATGATCATCATGTAGTAATACTGTCTGCCCTTGACTTTGTGTCCTCTCCTTCCTTTCAGGTTCTCTGTTCATCATTGGGACTTCGTCTTATCCTGCTGGTAAGTACCCACTGGGCACAGACTGGTTGAATCAACATTGTTTCCACGTCATTTCAATGAAATTATGTTGAACCAACGTGGAATAGATGTTGAATTGACGTCTTTGCCCAGTGGGAAGTTCTATAAGCCCTGCATGTTCTTATTTTTATTCTATCTGATCAGTTTGATTTTGAGTTCTGATATTTGGCAAGCGTGGTTAACAGTACAGCAGTAACTCGTCCTAGGGCAATGTGTCCAATTTCTCCTGATGGCCCATAGCTAAACCCTGGCATTGCAGCTATATTTTTTATTGTCTTCTTCTTCTTCTTCCACCCAGGTTCCTGTGACGGCTACACGGCTCTGGATGAGCCTCGACGTAACTATCTTTTCACCTCTACCTCTATCCCTGGCTTCCCCATCAATACCGACATACAGCGAACAAACATATGGGTGCGCTACATCGGGATCGGAGGGGACACTGTCATTCCACAATGTGCCCCAGTCTATTACGGCGGGGTATATTATCCCATCTATGTGACTTTTACACATCCTCAGTCTGAGTCAGAGACTCCAACAACGGGCTACGCATGTGGAAACACAGGTCTATGCTGTAATTACTATGTAGCTATTGAAGTGATCTACTGCTCTTCTGGAGGATTCTATGTGTACAAGCAAGTGAACAACCACCCAATCAATTACATGGGTTATGTGACATGTGAGTAGCGAGTATAGAAATCCCCTGCTTTTTATATGACTTGTACAGTACTCTTACCACACACGTTTAATTGTCTATTGAGCTAAGTATATTGAGCTGTTTAAATGCACTTTATCTGAAGTTTGATTGATGGATTGGTGTATAGTAAAATAGTTCTAAAGCATAAAGCAAGCTACTTGTTTTTGAAGCTGTCAATCTGTTAAGGTCACACAGACATTATATTTGACTTGAAGTGAACCTGCTCTTGTGTCTCATTGTTCCAAGCTAAAATAGTAGACTGTTAAAGTAGACTCTCTGTGTGTCTCTTCTCTCTGTCCAGACCATAGGAACTGTGTAGCAGGCTCCTGTGGTCCCCTTGCAGAGTGCAGTACGACCAAAAATGGAGGCTGTGAATGTGTCTCTGGATACAAGATACCTCCAACACATATACCCACAAACGAATCCTACGGCTGCCAAGGTAGAAGTGACGTAGGGTAATCCAGTTTAACTCAAGCAACGGGTGCTATTTAGGAGCTATGCCCACGGACTGTGTGGTTATATCTGTTTGATCAGTTAAGACAGTATGATGGTTGTTCATTCAGCAGAGACCCACCAGTACAGTACACTGCACTTCTCACATGGAGATAAAAATAGGCAGTCACAAATTGGAATTGGATTGTTTAAACTGGTTGATTTATTGTGTGTGTGTGTGTGTGTGTGTGTGTGTGTGTGTGTGTGTGTGTGTGTGTGTGTGTGTGTGTGTGTGTGTGTGAGAGTGTGAGTGTGTGTGTTGAACAGGGCCAGCGATAGGCACACTTTTTGGCTCGAGGGCCACATCAGGATACAGAAATTCAACGGCAGATTTGTTAGTCAAAATTCATTTCAAAGACAGAAAAGAAGGTGGTTATTTGAAGATGTGTATACTGAAGCCGTTCTTCTATCCAAAATAATAATTTCTAAAGAAAAAAGTGTTTCTTAAAAAATAATCTACTGCGGCCCGCATTGAATCAATTCACCCTTTATGTAGAAGAAAGCCACTGACCCTGTCCTAACTCTCCCCAACAGATATCAATGAGTGTGCAGAGACTGCTAATCTCTGCGGTCCGCATTCCAACTGTACTAATTTACCAGGAGCCTACAACTGTAGCTGTCTCGAGGGGTTCGCACCCTCAGACCCAGCCTTAGCACTCAACCCGTCCCGCAACCCCTGCACAGGTGTGTTTATCACACATACACCTACAGCACCAATCATATCAATGACATGAGGCCAGAGTTTGAATTTCATGGCTGCTATGAATAACATACCTGCATTTTTTGCTGTTTTTAACTTTGTGAATATGTACATGTGAATTTTTCTGCTGCCTCCTGTGTAAGCAAGATTTTAAAAAACACACATAAAATAATATTGCTGAACGTTGTCTAGTTTTGTGTGCAAACCACACTTTGATTTGTGGAGCTTTGTCAATATTGGTGTATTAAATCTATGTCCCCCCAGATGTGAATGAGTGTGTGGAGATTGAGAAGGTCTGTGGTGGTTTCGGTACATGTACAAACACACCAGGAAATTACACCTGCACCTGTTACAAGGGATACAAGCCTGACGGACCCTTCGACTGCCAAGGTCTCTGAACAGCACTGACACTAGTTTCCTGTGATAAATCTGATTAAACTTTTTAAATGTTTTAATATAAACCATTTATTTATATAGGGACAGGTACAACATTGACATATTGAATGGATAACAACTGTCATATGCATTGCATCATTACACCTAACTTACACTAATTTACAGTGCTTCCTAAAAGAGATGGAAGAACTCATGGTAGCATTTTATGTTACAGTATATTATTATCTATATCATACACTACGGATCATAATGTTGTCAACCTGGATGCTGCCTGGCACCCTGTCGTAAGATGCTAACTGAACTATTAAACTATTGATCCCCCACAGATATTGACGAGTGTTTTAACTCAACCATCTGTGGTCAGGAGTCTGTCTGCACCAACACACCAGGAGCCCACAACTGTACCTGTCTCCTGGGCTTCTCACCCACAAATCCAGTCCTAGACCCCAGCAATGCCAACCCCTGTAGAGGTACTGTGTTGTCACACTACTGTTGTCGTTAACATACTGTATCATGCGTCGTTGACTAGGTTTACATCCCAAATAGCACCCTATTCCCTATGTAGTACTCTACTTTTGACCAGGTCTGGTCAAAAGAAGTGCACTACTGTATATAGAGAATAGGCTGCCATTTGGGACACAACCTAGGTCTAGGATAAGATAATGGTGTTAGGCGATTCTTGGCCCATATTCACAAAGTGTCTCAGAATAGGAGTGCTGATCTAGGATACATTTTTCCTTTTAGATCATAATGACTGAGATTGTGGATAGGTAGCACCTGATATTAGAGCAGCAGTCATACCAAAGATGTGTTATAACTAAACCAAGATAGACCACAGCCTGTCGTTTCAAATGGAAACAAATGAGCCATAGTGGGCGGAACAAGCAACGAGGTGGGCAGAGCCAAGCAGGAGCTAGCGAGATCCTACTATATTTGGTAGTGGGTGGAATCGCCAACCGGATGCTTCACATTTATACATCCGGTGAAATATCTGTCTCATTGTTCTATCTGTGGTCCTACTCTTAGATGCTTTGTGGCAATAACTTGTTCTTAGGAACTGTATCTGTGGTTTGAACCCTACAGACATTGATGAGTGTCTGAATGCAACCATGTGTGGTCCCAGTGCCAACTGTACCAACTCTTATGGGGCACACAGCTGTACCTGTCTCTGTGGTTACCTACTCACCAGCCCAGATGCCATAGCCAGCATGCATGTAAACATTTGTGTGTGTGGTGTGTCTTTGAATGTACAGTCGTGGTCAAAAGTTTTGAGAATGACACAAGTATTGGTCTTCACAAAGTTTGCTGCTTCAGTGTTTTTAGATATTTTTGTCAGATGTTACTATGGTATACTGAAGTATAATTACAATCATTCCATAAGTGTTAAAGGCTTTTATTGACAATTACATTAAGTTTATGCAAAGAGTCAATATTTGCAATGTTGACCCTTCTTTTTCAAGACCTCTGCAATCCGCCCTGGCATGCTGTCAATTAACTTCTGGGCCACATCCTGACTGATGGCAGCCCATTCTTGTATAATCAATGTTTGGAGTTTGTCACAATTTGTGGGGTTTTGTTTGTCCACCCGCCTCTTGAGGATTGACCACAAGTTCTCAATGGGATTAAGGTCTGGGGAGTTTCCTGGCCGTGGACTCAAAATGTTGATGTTTTGTTCCCCGAGCCACTTAGTTATCACTTTTGCCTTATGGCAAGGTGCTCCATCATGCTGGAAAAGGCATTGTTTGTCACCAAACTGTTCTTGGATGGTTGGGAGAAGTTGCTCTCTGAGGATGTGTTGGTACCATTCTTTATTCATGGCTGTGTTCTTAGGCAAAATTGTGAGTGAGCCCACTCCCTTGGCTGAGAAGCAACCCCACACATGAATGGTCTCAGGATGCTTTACTGTTGGCATGACACAGGACTGATGGTAGCGCTCACCTTGTCTTCTCCAGACAAGCTTTTTTCCCAAACAATCAGAAAGGGGATTCATCAGACAAAATGACTTTACCCCAGTCCTCAGCAGTCCAATCCATGTACATTTTGCAGAATATCAGTCTGTCCCTGATGTTTTTCCTGGAGAGAAGTGGCTTCTTCGCTGCCCTTCTTGACACCAGGCCATCCTCCAAAAGTCTTTGCCTCACTGTGCGTGCAGATGCACTCACACCTGCCTGCTGCCATTCCTGAGCAAGCTCTGCACTGGTGGTGCCCCGATCCCACAGCTGAATCAACTTTAGGAGATGGTCCTGGCGCTTGCTGGACTTTCTTGGGCGCCCTGAAGCCTTCTTCACAACAATTGAACCTCTCTCCTTGAAGTTCTTGATGATCCGATAAATGGTTGATTTAGTTGCAATCTTACTAGCAGCAATATCCTTGCCTGTGAAGCCCTTTTTGTGCAAAGCAATGATGACGGCACGTGTTTCCTTGCAGGTAACCATGGTTAACAGAGGAAGAACAATGATTTCAAGCACCACCCTCCTTTTAAAGCTTCCAGTCTGTTATTCTAACTCAATCAGCATGACAGAGTGATCTCCAGCCTTGTCCTCGTCAACACTCTCACCTGTGTTAACGAGAGAATCACTGACATGATGTCAGCTGGTCCTTTTGTGGCAGGGCTGAAATGCAGTGGAAATGTTTTTTGGGGATTAAGTTCATTTTCATGGCAAAGAAGGACTTTGCAATTAATTGTAATTCATCTAATCACTCTTCATGACATTCTGGAGTATATGCAAATTGCCATCATAAAAACTGAGGCAGCAGACTTTGTGAACATTAATATTTGTGTCATTCTCAAAACGTTTGACCACGACCTTATATCCGTTACAGTATGTGTGTATAACCCTGTGAGTGTATGTTTCTCCCTGCAGACATAGATGAGTGTGCTGACACCCCTGGTCTATGTGGTCTCCACTCTGTGTGTACCAATGCACCGGGGAGCTTCCACTGTTCCTGTGTGGAAGGGTACTTCTCCTCCACTGGAGTACTGTGGGAAACTGATGTCACTGTGTGTGATAGTGAGTCATACTTGTATTGTTTGGAAATATATTATGTACAGAAGAGGTCCAGTGTAGTGAAATGCTTGGGAGATCAGATGGGAACTTGATATATTATTTTCTCTCTTTTCTCTCTTTTCTCTCTTTTCTCTCTTTTCTCTCTCTCTCTCTCTCTCTCTCTCTCTCTCTCTCTCTCTCTCTCTCTCTCTCTCTCTCTCTCTCTCTCTCTCTCTCTCTCTCTCTCTCTCTCTCTCTCTCTCTCTCTCCCTTCACAGGTGTTGATGACATTATAGCCTCCATAGTTCCCCCAGAGGTAAGTGGTTGGAAACACACAGGGCTTTAGAATGGATCCTGTGCAAGTACCACCCATACAGTATGGTGGGCTTTAAAATGGATCCTGTCAGAAGAAAGTTGAAGGAAAAGTATCACTGACGACAAAGACATTGTAACAATGTTGTCATCTGGTTGTGCTGATGTTGTTGTGTTGATGTTGACGTGCTGATGTTGTGTTGATGTTGTGTTGAGTTGATGTTGTGTTGATGTTGTGCTGATGTTGTGCTGATGTTGTGCTGATGTTGTATCTGTGTTCCCGCTGCAGGGCCAGTCTAAGGAGATGTACTTCCTCTACCAGATGAACCAACAGCTGAGGGAGAACCCTGACATTGTCCTACCAGAGGGGGTCAGTACAGCAACCTTTACATCTGATAGACTAGCCAATCCAGAAACAACCCCTAGCTCTTACTATCTATTCTAGACACTTCTGTAGACCTTGGGCCATATGTATCAAGTCTCTCAGAGTAGGAGTGCTGATCCAAGATCAGGTTCCCCCTGTCCATGTAATTTTATTTATGTGATCTAAAAGTTTAAACTGATCCTAAATCAGCACTCCTACTCTGAGATGCTTGATACAAATGGCCACTGACATGCTCATTCATTGATCTCTGGCACCACTTAGTGGATCATTTGGATATGGGTCAGGTTTCAGTACATAGTTCTATTCCCCACCCAGAGGGTCCTGTTTTATGTCTCCACATGCTAACTAATGTCATTGTATCTCTCCCTCCATTCTTCTGTCCCTTCTTTCTCTCCCATTTTATTTTTTCCTCAGTCAGTGACAAACAGCCTCTCCACAGCCCTGGTAATGGCCCCTTCCAACTCTGTCTCATGTTTTAAGTAATAATAATCGGAGTGGGGTTAGTTTGTCTTAGTCAAGGCAGTATGTTTATCATTGAGTACCTTTACATGCACACTAATAATTTGATATTAAACTGATTATGGCAGAAGGCCGAGTATGGCATTAGTCATGTAAACACCTTACTCTGCTTATCTTAATCGGCTTAAGGTTATAATTGAAGTAAGCGTACGCAGATTAAAACACCTGGTTTTGTGAGCAATCTTTCTCATTATTAGGACACGTAAACAGCTTAATCGGCGTTCCAGCTGTGTATTTGATCTTATGCGCGAGTGAAGTGAGTTCGCAAAAACAGAAATTATGCGTCTTATAAATAAAAGTTCGGACATACACATCCAATAGTCTTCGCAAAATTAACATGGTTACTGTGGTAGAACGTTTATTTTGATTGGCGATTTCCTGCATTTATCAAAAGGCCCATCAGTAGCCTGATCTCAGATGTGTCAATGTAAACAGGATTATTAGGGAAATCATTCTTCTTGCAAAGCATGTAAACGTTTTAAACGAACTATTATATTAACCAGACTATCCACAATAATCACATTATTGTGTGCATGAAACCATGCTCATTCATTAATTCATTAATTAATTCCTCCATTAATTCATAAATTCATCCATCTATCCATTTCCTTAGAAGGTGTCCGGAGTTGGAAGCATCTCAGCGCAGCAGGCCAGTACAGGCCAGGTGTGGAGTGGGGCTGGAAAGGATGGCGGGGAGTCTGGCAGTGTGGTCCTGAAGATCTCAGAGCTCCTGGTGAATGCCTTAGTGGACCCTTCTCAGGGCCAGGTCAACAAAAGCATACAGACACCTGAGCTGGGTAAGAAGAACCATTACCACAGTATGGACCTACATACAGCCCCTACCACCTTTCCATCCAACATCCCTGGTCATCCCTACTGCATCTGATCTTGGGGACTCTCTAAACACATGCTTCGTTTGTAAATTATGTTGGAGTGTTGGAGTGAGCCCCTGGCTATCTGGCTTGCTTCATATAAGGAATTTGACATTATTTATATTTTTACTTTTACTTTTGATACTTAAGTATATATTAGCAATTACATTTACTTTTGATACTTAAGTATATTTAAAACCAAATACTTTTAGACTTTTACTCAACTAGGATTTTACTGGGTGACTTTCATTTTTATTTGAGTCATTTTCTGTATCATACTCAAGTATGATAATTGGGTATTTTTTTCCACCACTTCACATACTCTCTCCCTCATTCTCCCCATATAAAATAATACTTGTACTGTAAATGTGTATGTTAGATATTAGTCTGCAGGTAATCGAGGCCAACAGTACAGACACCTCCTCCCTCTCAGCCAGGGGAAACACCATGGACATCAACCTACAGGCTCTGGCCAGAAACAATAATGGTGAGATAGACCAGACACAACTGTATAGTGGTGATTATAATAATAAAATATAAATAATAATAATAATTTATTATTATTATAGTGGTGATTAAGTTGACAATGAACAATATCACCATGATGATGACTATTATGGGAATCATACTGATGATAATGATACTGATGATGATGGTGGTGATGATGACGATGATGACTATTGCGTGGACGATGATGATGATGATGATAATGATTCTGATGATGATGGTGGTGTTGGTGATAATGATGGTGACTATTCCGGGGGTGATGATGACGATGAAGGTTCTGAGTGTTATTTAACGACAGCCCCCTACTCTGTGTCCCTAGGTACAGCATCAGCAGTATTCCTGACAGTCAGTGGGATGGAGAGCCTTCTGGGCGCTAGCTTCTTGCAGACAGAAAACCACACAGAGATGTTGTCTGATGTCATCACCGCCACACTGCCCAAGATCAACCACACCCAGCTCTCTGAGCCTGTCAACTTCACCATGCGCCACAAGAGGGTATGTCGTCTGTCTGTCTGTCTGTTTGTCTGTGTGTCTGTCTGTCTGATTGTACAGTCGGCTTTCCTGCCAGTTCTTGATTATGGTGACGCCATTTACCAGATTGCAGCAGCCACTACTCTTACAACCTTTGGATGCCATCTACCATAGCGCCATTTGTTTTACTACTGGTGACAGTTTTAATACTCACCACTGCATCCTGTATCAAAAGGTTGTCTGGTCCCCATTAAAGTCCCGTAGATCACTTCATTACTCCCTTTTTGTTTACAAAGCCCTACTACATAAGCTTCCAAATGACCTAACTTTGTTGCTAACGTATAAAATAATTAGATCCCAGACCCGTTCACAGAGTTGGTTAACTCTTCAGATTCCACGGGTCTCCAAGGAATGAGTTAAATCCACTTTTAGTTTTCATGCTACACATTTTTGGAATCACAAATTCATTACATTTGGATTCCCTGGTGCCACTAGGGCATTTTAAAACACTGATGATAAATTAATTCACAGAGGTGTGCAATTGTTTTGATTGATTGATTGTAATAACTTGTTTATGAGGGCTGTGATGTTAGTAATGTTCTAATGTAATGTACTTGTTATTTGTATTTTTTTCAATTATTATTTTACTTTATGTTCTAAAGGCACCATTGAAAATGAGACCCTGGTCTCAATTGGGCTCCCCTGATTAAATACAAGTAAATAAATGCCTGTCTGTCTAACTCTCTCTATTTCTGTCCATCTTACAATTCTGTCAGTCAGTTGAGGTGTTGTGTTGCTGTTGCTGATCTGTGCTGGTTATTCATTCTCCCTCAGTCTGTTTCTCTCCCTCTCTCCTTCTCCCTCTCTCCCTCTCCCTCTCTCCTTCTCCCTCTCTCCCTCTCTCCTTCTCCCTCTCTCCTTCTCTCCCTCTCCCTCTCTCCTTCTCCCTCTCTCCTTCGTCCTCTCTCCCTCTCTCCCTCTCCCTCTCTCTCTCCCTCTCTCTCCCTCTCCCTCTCTCCCTCCCTCTCTCCCTCTCCCTCTCTCCCTCTCTCTCTTCCTCTCCCTCTCTCCCTCTCTCCCCACTCTCTGTCTCTGTCAGCTGTAGCGAAGCACTAGAAAATCATTCCATTATGAGGCATCTACACTCACATATTCTCTGTCTGTTTGTCTGGCTGGCTAGCTGGCTGTCTGTTTGTCTGTCTATACATCCCTCCATCCCTCATAGCATACTATCAGTATCTAAACCTGTATCTATCTATCTTTCTATCTCTCTCTCTCTCTCTCTCTCTCTCTCTCTCTCTCTCTCTCTCTCTCTCTCTCTCTCTCTCTCTCTCTCTCTCTCTTCTCTCACTCTCTCTGTCTGTCTCAGAGGTTGGCTGAGCCTGGCCTGATGACCTGTGTGTACTGGAAGGACAGAGGAGTGGAATATGGGAATGGAACAGAGGGGAAGATGAGGCATTGGTCAGTGGACGGCTGTTGGGTCGTGTTCTCCGATGAGAACTACACAGTGTGCAGCTGTTCTCACCTCTCCACCTTTGCACTCATCATGCAGACTGGGGAGGTACAGGCTCAGCCGTGTGGGTGTGTGTGTGGGTATGAGCGATTGTGTGTGTTTGTGTTTTGGTGCACACATTAGTGTGTGTGTGTTCATGCTTACGTGTGTGTGTCTCCATCCTTCCAGACTGTGTCGGAGGATAATCCCTTCCTAGAGTGGGTGAACAGAATGTGTGTGATCGTGGGCCTGGTCTTCTTTGCTCTGGCCATCCTCACCTTCCTGCTGTGTAGCTGGAACCCTAAGATCAACAACACAGCCCGCCTCCACCTCTGCCTCTGCCTCTTCCTGTCCCATCTGCTGCTCCTATTGGATTACACCTACCTCACTCACAAGGTACTGGGTTAGGAAATAAAGTTCATTTGTGTGTACATGTCTTTTTCGTTCTCTTTTTGTATGTGTGTGTGTGTGTGTGTGTGTGAGTGTGTGTGAGTGCATGCTGGGTTCTGCGTGTGAGCATGTCCATGTGTTTATTTCTATCTCATAGTCCTCTCTGTCTCCAGCTGGTGTGCTCCATCATGGCAGGTCTCCTCCACTTCCTGGTAGTGGCCAGTTTCCTGTGGATGCTGCTGGAGGCGCTCCAGCTCTACCTGCTGGTCCAGAGACTCTCCAGGATCCAGGTCATCCAGAGGGACGGCCTCCAGAAGAAATACCTCTACCTGATTGGCTATGGCATCCCCCTGGTGATCGTGGGCGTGTCTGCAGCGGTGAAGCAAGACGGCTATGGGGGAACTAAAGTGTGAGTAGAAATTGTGTACACACACACACACACACACTCATTCTCTATCTTGCACTAACACACACTTACAAGACATGTTCATTTGTTTCTGTGTTTCAGATGCTGGCTGAAGCCAGAACAATACTTTACCTGGGCTGTGTTAGGGCCAGTGTGTACTGTCCTAGCAGTGAGTGGATCTACACGCACACACATATGCATGCACACACACACACACACACAAACACACACTGACCTCCTTATGCTTCTTCCACAGCTGAACTGGATATTGTTCTGTGTTACTATCTGGAGTTTGAGACCTACCTTGGCCAACATGAAGAGTGATGTCTCACAGTCCAAAGACACCAGGTGTGTGTGCACATATGTTTGTGAACATACAGTAACTAAACCATATGTAATGTGTATGTTTGTTGATACCGATGGGAATACGTGGGAGTGTTAGTGTTCTTGTCTCTTCATATGAATCCATATGATGTTTTTACACCATTCCATCTCTCCCCCCCCCCCCCCCCCCCCCACCCCACCCCCTCTCACTCAGACTGATCATCTTTAAGATCCTGGCACAGTTTGTGATCCTGGGTTGTACCTGGGTGCTGGGCTTTTTCCAGTCCACCATGGTCTTCAAGTACTTCTTCATCGTGCTCAACTCCCAGCAGGGCACCTTCCTCTACATCGTTCACTGTCTCTTCAACAAGGAGGTAGACCTACACCACAAGCACACACACACACACACATACACAAACGTGCACACACACATATGCACACACACGCACACACGCACACACACACACACACACACACCTTCTTAATCTCCCCTCTGTCTGCCCTCCACAATCCATCATACTTCTTAACCTCCCCTCCCTACCCCTCCACAACTTCCTGATAACTCACCCCTTGTGTCTTTTTATGTTGTATGGTTTTGGTATGTTTATAATATTGTACTTATAATAAGTGTTGTGTTGTATTTTGAAAGGTGAGGAAGTAGTACTGGAGGTGTTACTGTGTTGTACAGTGTGCTCTGTGTATAATTAGTGTTGGTGTGTTGTTGTTGTGTTGTGTATTGTATCATAGGTACGTGATGAGTACAGGAAGTGGCTGGGCTGTTCTTCCAGCTCCTCTACTCCAGACTCTATGGTAAGTCTATACCCTCCTCACTCATCACTAGTTCTTAAATCTATGTGTGGCTTCCTCTTATTTCCAGGCTGAATGTAATGTTACTGAATGACCCTCTGGTATTCTTTTACCACAGAAAGGAAACCTGTTGAGGTCTTGTTTTTCCAACAGAAAGGAGCACCTTCAGTCTCTGAAGACCTGGACAAGGCTGGCAAAGAGAGACAAAACAAAGGAACACGGCCAGGATGAGAGCAACATGATAAGTTACCATCAGACCTTCAAAGCATTTCAGCACCGTGGGCCTCCACGGTATATCTTTCAATGCACACTGTACACATTAAGTATGAGAGCGAGAGAGAGAGAGAGAGGGGTGGGTTTTTATGGATGCTAATGACTCAGATGACACAGCCTGACCTTTTGTAATTACTAATATTTCCTTTATCTACTTAAAACAATGTTTTATTATCCTGCAAATGCATTTATAGAATGTCATATTTATCAATTTATTATGTACACGGTAGTTACAGCATATTTACCTGTGTGCAAAATAAACAAATGAAAATGTCTAGGTTGCAGTTGTTTTTATATAAATAAATAACTGCATCTCTACCTGCTTTGAGTCTAGCATTTACCATTGGATTGTCCATCAGGGACAATAATGATTTATTCAATGGAATCCCTGTGGCTGAGCCCAGATAAGAAAGTCTCGGGCAGCTGCAGTCTGAAGTGTTTTGAGAGCAGAGAGACTGGGTTTCCAGACACAGATGGCACAGGAGTGGTGAGGAGAGGACAGGAGGGCATCCTCTCAGAGCTATAATAGAATAACTAGAAGAGAACCACAGCAGTAGACAGACAGTACTGCACTTGCATTCTATTGCAATGCCCTCTTTTCACCACGTGGCTGCAGCACCTAATCGTCAATACTCTCGCTCTCATTGGAGTTAGGAGTTAAAGCGAGTACACAGGTCTCCTGTTGATGGCGAGATACCATTGGGTGCATAGGTTCCATCCTAGCCATGATTCAATTGATTAACAAACAATGAAAACCTGGTGGGGTTTTAGGGAGAGAGTGGGAGAAAGACAAAAATATGGAGATGGATAGATAGATGGCAGGAAAAGTCAACGGGAGGAGGAGATATAGAGGCATACAGAGATGGATGGAAAGAAAGGGAAATTCGAAGACTGGTGAATGCAGCAGCAGGAGTGAAAGAGAATACAATAGGGGGACAGAGAAGAAGAAGAAGAAGAAGAAGAAGAAGAAGAAGAAGAAGAAGAAGAAGAAGAAGAAGAAGAAGAAGAAGAAGAAGAAGAAGAAGAAGAAGAAGAAGAAGAAGAAGAAGAGGCTGGGTGTGGGGTGTTTTGCTCCGAGTCACAGTGCTGCTAGTCTCTTTGCCTGTTACCATGGGAATGCAGCTGCAGTGCTCGCTGGAGTCGTGCTGGTCTGTCAGCCGGGAAACGCTGTTTGGTAAACAGTCTTGTTCTTTGAGTTCGAATGTGTTAGACTTTGTCAAAATAGTCAGGAATAAACTCCAAACCATGTTAGAAATCGATGCAGTGCGGCTGGGGGTGTTTAGTATGCAAAGTTGCCAGGCAGCTAACAAATCACCCACTGGGCACAGATGTCAGTTGAAAGTCTAGGGTTGATTGAAATTTGGTTGAATTGTCAACTAATGTGAATTCCACGTGAAATCAACAAAAAAATGCACCATGTTATTGGATTTAGGTTAAAGGTTGATTCAACCAGTTTTTGCCCAGTGGGCAGTCATTTACTGAATTCCAAATCAATCCCCAGTCCTCCTCAACTATCCTCCAGGCACTCCTTTAGATCTGAAAAGAGCAGATAGGTTAACATGGTAATTGCTTTACTTTGCTGTTTAATTGGATGGGTGATATTTACCATAGCCTAAGGGGCAGAGGTCGATTAGGATTTCAGCAAAAGTCTTCCATAATGAGTCTGTAATTATGCGTAAAGCCTCTGAGATGTAGTGGGTCTTTCTGTCCAACAGGCCTGGGGGTTAGTTAGTGATACAGTGGTATGACCAATATGTTACAAATTCCCTGCCAGTGACTCTTAGCACACCATCTCACAGCGCTCTCAGAGAAACAAACTCTGTAACTTCTGCAGTAGACTACCCTCCCCCACTGGAGCCAAGCAGGCCAGGGGGGTTAAAAACTGGCTCTTCACACCTAGGGCCCTGGCCACTGATTTGTTGCTAGGGGTCCTGGTTGCCAGGGGCCTTATCACACTGTGGGGTCATCACAGGCGGTCAGCTTGGGTCCCAGATCAGAAACTCCTGCCTCCCCCTCTGTCTACATCAAGCAGTCACAGAGAGCAGCAAGCTCATCTCTATCCTGCACAACAACAGCTGGACTCATATCTCTGAGCTTGTGGGATGGTGTGTGTGCACAAAGTGAGTTGTGTGAGATTTGTATATTGTTCTTAGTAGTTGTTACTATTGTTGTATAATGTATTTGTGTATAGCTGTATTGTAATATGGCAGGTAGCATATATACTGAACAAAAATATAAACGCAACATGTAAAGTCTTGGTCTCATGTCTCATGAGATGAAATAAAAGTTTCCAGAAATGTTACATTTGCACAAAAAGCTTTTTTCTCTCAAATGTTGTGCACAAATTAGTTTACAACCCTGTTAGTGAGCATTTCTCATTTGCCAAGATAATCCATCCACCTGACATGTGTGGCATATAAAGAAGCTGATTAAACAGCATGACCATTACACAGGTGCACCTTGTGCTGGGGACAATAAAAGGCCACTCTAAAATATGCAGTTTTGTCACACAACACAATGCCACAGATGTCTCAAGTTTTGAGGGAGCGTGCAATTGGCATGCTGACTGCAGGAATGTCCACCAGAGCTGTTGCCAGAGAATTTAATGTTAATTTCTCTACCATAAGCCGCCTCCAACGTAGTTTTAGAGAATTTGGCAGTACGTCCAATCAAACTCATAACCGCAGACCACGTGTAACCACGCCAGCCCAGGACCTCCACCTACGGGATCATCTGAGACCAGCCATCTGGACAGCTGATGAAACTGTGGGTTTGCACAACCGAATAATTTCTGCACAATCTGTCAGAAACCGTCTCAGGTAAGCTCATCTGCGTGCTCGTCGTCCTCACTAGAGTCTTGACCTGACTGCAGTTCGGCGTTGTAACCGACATCAGTGGGCAAATGCTCACCATCGATGACCACTGGCACACAGGAGAAGTGTGCTCTTCGCGGATGAATCTCGGTTTCAGCTGTACCGAGGAGATGGCAGACAGCATGTATGGCATTGTGTGGGCAGTTTGCTGATGTCAACGTTGTGAACAGAGTGCCCCATGGTGGCTGTGGGGTTATGGTATGGGCAGGCATAAGCCACGGACAATGAACACAATTGCATTTTATCAATGGGAATTTGAATGCACAAAGATACCATGATGAGATCCTGAAGCCCATTGTCGTGCCATTCATCCACCACCATCACCTCATGTTTCAGCATGATAATGCACGGCCCCATGTCGCAAGGATCTGTAAACAATTCCTGCAAGCTGAAAATGTTCCAGTTCTTCCATGGCCTGCATACTGACCAGACATTGTCACCCATTGAGCATGTTTGGGATGCTCTGGATTGACGTGTACGACAGCATGTTCCAGTTTCCGCCAATATCCAGCAACTTCGAACAGCCATTGAAGAGGAGTGGGACAACATTCCACAGGCCACAATCAAAAGCTTGATCAAATCTGTGCAAAGGGGATGTGTCGCGCTGCATGAGGCAAATGGTGGTCACATCAGATACTGACTGTTTTTCTGATCCACGGCCCTACCTTTTCTTAACCCTCAACCTACAATTTCCTCACCCCTGCAGAAATCAAATTAACATAATAAAAAAATCACCATCAAAATGTTTTTGCTAGAGATAGCTGTTTTTTGGGATGAGCTGCGTCTCAATCCACCACATCCGCCGATATCGCCCTTCCGCATCTGTGGTGAAAGGTGGCAGAGCTAGAGTGGTGTTTGTCAGACCATGAGACATCACAAAATTCGGTCTTCTCACAAAAACGTCTGTAGAGTCAGAATGGCCTACAAATTATTATGACGCTCTATTGAAAGAACACGCTGGTGTTCTCCGTTTTGCTCTAGGACGCCCACAAGCCTCACAAGACTCGTCTGAAGTCGGTACAGCCTCTTCTGCCAACTTCTGTCTGCAGCGTCAAAACAGTTTGGGCTACACACTAATATAACCCCTCTGTGGACAGCTGAGACTCTCACAAACACGATGGTGTTCTCCATTTTGGGGGGGAACAATCTGTTGTTCAATGCGTTTCTATTGGCTAATAGCAGTAATGTCAAATTCAATGTTTCATCCAATAATTTTTGTATATATCTTTTTTTATCCTTTAAAAGGTCTTACAATTCAAAATCAAATAGCTAAATGATCCTTGGTATGACCCCCTCCCCCGGCTTAGACAGGGCTTAGACTCTAGAGCCCTCAAACTCAACTCTGGACCTCAAAGCCAGTTCCACTGCATTTTGTCATTGTTCCCCTCTAATCAGGGACTGATTTAGACCTGGGACACCAGGTGTGTGCAACTCATTATCAGGTAAAACAGAAAACCAGCAGGCTCAAGACCTCGTAGGGTAAGAGTTCAGTACCCCTGCTCTAGAGGGTCAAGGTATCTGTGACCAACAGATGCCTATCTGTATTCCCAGTCATGAGAAATCCATAGATTAGGGCCTAATGAAAATGTTTCAATTGACTGATTTCCTTAAATGAACTGCAACTCAGTAAAATCTTTGAAATTGTTACATGTTGCGTTTATATTTTTGTTCAGTGTACATTTTCATCCTTCCCTTGATAATAGCCTTGTTGCTCTACTTGTGCTATCAGTTATAGTATTGTTTACAGTGGATTCATTACCTCTGTTTCTTCTGTTTTAGAACCACTGCCATTCTACTACCTTTCTGTGTACATTCCATCTGTGTGTATGTGTGTGTGTCAATAAAGTATCCTTGTGTGTAACTCTGAGGTTGCCTCATTCCGTTCTTACGGGGGAGATGTTTGTTGGTCACAGATCAGCCAAAATGGAGAGTCGCTCTCTTTCACTATACATGCCCTGAAGGTTGGAACCAAAAAGACCCAGGAAGAGATCCTGTTCCCCCCCACTCTGTCTCAAGTCTAAGGACATAATTATGATGAATCAGTTTATAGTTTGTAATCTATCAAGTCAGTTTATTGCTCCCCTGATGATGCTCTAGATGCTGCATGTGTGGATGCGGAGTACTGCACATCCACACATGATGGGGGTGTATCATACAGGTATCTATGCAGTATTCTCAGTTCTCTACCTTGTATTATCATAA